CCCCAGAGCTGTTCTGGACCGGGCACATGACTCTTTGCTGTGTGCTGAAGTTCAACTGTACATTAAGAAAACACAAACATTTCCTGAGCTCTGCTTTTTCCTATGTAGGGAGTAAGCAGCGACCAATGCCTGTCTCGGATGCCACATCCAAGTACATGGTGAGCAGCGCTAGAAGTTGGAAATCTGAGGTGCTTCAAAGTAAGAAACTCACAGCGTGGCAATACAAAGTGCGACTCAAGTGGGATAGGGATTTAACCAAGCTTGCCTTGGGAGGAGGGACAGAAAAGTGGTTCAGTGACCCTAAGATGGTCTTTGGGGTTCTGGCTTTAAAAAGAGGAAGAGCTGGGGCCAAGGGCAAGGAGGATGTGTACGTAATTAAGTAGTCTGGCTGGTCTTTAACTCAGATCTGGTTCTGCAGTGTAGTCCAGAAGTTGTTGTGTAGCCATCTTTGAGGGGACCAGCCCAGGCCTGAGGAAGGATGGCCCTTGTTCTAGAGCACAGCCTCCCCAGTACAGGTGGTTCTCGTGTTCTGTGAAGTGATGGCAGGTTTAGGGCAGCTCTCTGTGCTGGCCTGAAAGGAGGACGAGGTAGGATAGGTGTCACTGGCTTTGGGATGAGTGATTTCCATGTGTACACCGGAATCAAGCAGGAGCCTGACCAAGTAAAGCAGATTAGGGGTTCCTGGGTTCTTGGGGTCAAAGCCTGGCTCTGTCAGTCCCAGGAGTCTGGGTTTGACGACCCATTTTCTTTGCACCAACCAAGGACACAAGTGTGAGAAACAGAGAAAGGTGATTTATTCAGTCACTCCAACCCCAGAATCTCATGTCTACCTTTGAGCCTGGGCACTGACATGTTTAGATTGAAAAATAGAAGGTCAGAAGCACACAGAATTAAGCAGTTCCTGTCAGGCATGGTCTCGCCCATCATGGACCCTGTCGCTGTCTTAGTGGCAGTCTGTCTTTCAAGGTCGCCTGTGCAGTTGTCATGTGTGAATGCTTCCTGGCAGACAGGTCCCTCCTCCTGACCAGCACACTCCTTGCCATCTCAGTATCTGGGGGAATCTCAAGTCTTTGAGGCCCATTGTTTTCAGTAGTCTGGTATCATGAAGTATCTCTCTTAAAAATGTCTTCTCTCTTTCCAGGGCTGTCACAGACAAACACAGAATCGAAGTAGAAATGCCAAGTTTTAATTGTCTTAATTGTTTTAATTTAACCTGCTTTTAATTGTCTTATATGCCCAAGTGAGGGGTCAGTGCTTTTCAGCAAAAATAGTTTCTAAGCACCTATTAGGACTTCAGAGGATAGAGGTGGGTTTTCGGGTGCATGATATGTAATGATACATATCATTGATATTGATATGTAATGATATACATAACAATAAAATCAGAAGTTAAAGTAACACCTGTAATCTTGAGTTCCTGGGAGGCTGAGGCAGGAGAATTGGGAGTTCCAGGCTTGTGAGCTATGACGACTTTGCCTTAAAATCTAAACCTCCCTGCCAACAAAAAACCCCAAACAGGAGCATGAGTAGGAATACACTGTCTGATGGAGGAATCGCACTCTCAGACATGGCTGGAGCTCTGCATGGGCACTGTATATCCTGAAGTGCAGCCGTGGGTGAGCTACCTCTTAAAACTGAACTGGATTTTCTGATCAGTTTTGATGGGAGGATGGCAGATGTGAACAGAGCAATCTGGTGATGTCTGTAGGACTTGGATTAGATTAGTTGTTCAAGAGAGACTGTGTGTGTAAGTTAAAGCTGTGTCTATGAGAATATGCAAGACACCATAATAATTTGGTAGGCTTGTGACTGGTAGCTTGGGGGCCAAGGGGGGAAGGGAAGCTTCTTCTCACTGTATATACACTTCAGGGCTGTAAAAATATTTTTTGACTCTTAAGTTGACTTACTAAGAAAATGATTGAGTACTGATCTTAATCCTTTATGGGAGAAGTCATTGATTTACGTGGCGATCACCTTAAAAAAATTCAGGTACGTTTGTTGCTGTCCTATGAAGCCTGCTTGTGTTTTCTGGCATCCAGGCTTTCTGAGAGCATGGTCACCCCTCCTCCTCTTCCTCCTGAGTAGTACCAGTGTGAGGTCCTTCTCCAGGGCAGGTCTCTGCAGCCTCCCCAGACCTCCTCACCCTGAGGCTTACCCATGCAGATGAGTCACTTCCAGGTTTTATTTTGCTTTGAAGTGATCATTCTTCATAATTGGGGCAATTTAGTTTCACCAGGTTATTTCCAGGCATTTATGGGTGATGTCATGACTGATGTCAGCATTTGTTTAGTGAACTTCACCAGCTCTCTTGAGCACTCTGTGAGCTGTGTGTGTGTGTGTGTGTGTATGTGTGTGTGTGTGAGAGAGAGAGAGAGAGAGAGAGAGAGAGAGAGAGACAGAGCGCACGCGAGGAGGGGAGAACATATGAACAAGGACTTTGTGGCCTAGGTTCACCTCCTGACTGGAACTGATTCTATAGCACAGGCTGGCCTTTGAGTTCATAGTCTTCCTGTGTCAGCGCCTCCCCCTACTCCATGCTGGGATTACAAGGGTGCGCCACCACACCAGGCTGAAGCTCAGGGGATTTAATTGACTTGCCTAATGTCTCCTGGTGGACTGGACAGTCTTCCTGCTTCAGTTTTAGTTTGCAGGGGTCACCCTTGGCTTGGTGAGTGGGGTTGAATTGGCTTTCTGATGCAAGTGTTCTCTGGGGTGGCTGTTGTTGCATATACTATGGGTGTGCAGGCTTCTCCCAGACATTCATTCTTCCCTAAGCATTTACATCACTGTTGCCATGAGGGGCCGTTCAGCCTAGAGATGATAAAGGGATGTGGGCAGCTGTGTGGGGGTTACCTGAGACAGGCCATTTGCAGGAGGAACTTGAGCACCCTTGGATTGTATGATACCAGCTTGGGTCTTGGAACCCATAGACACTAGCGGACGGAACGGGTGTATACCTTTTGATGAGTTCTTGTTTGAGAGTCATTGGTGGGTGGAACTGGTAGAGGATCCCAACTGATGGCTAACTTCAGGCGCCCCCTCCAGTGTGGGTGTTGTGAATGCGTGTGTTGAGCCTTGGGGTACAGAGTTGGCTGTGCAGTGATTCTGTGCACACCAGCAGGTTCTAAGACAGGACTCTCGCTTGTTCCTGTTTTAAAAAAAACTGCAAGTCTATTGAATTCCTTTTCTGGCAAGTTCAAACATGTATAAAGTGCTTTCACGTTGCTGTACAGCCCTGGCCTCTAATCTCCCTCCCCCCTCCTCATTCTTCCCACACAGAATCCCTTTCCCACATCTCTGTCTCTTTAGTTTGAGGCCCACAGAATTTAACCAAGATCACATTGTGACCATGGGTTTAGAACTGTCCCCTGAGGAAACCAGCAGCTTCCAATAGTAACTCTGCTGTACCCTAATGTCCAAGGTAACTCTGTCCTCCTCAAAATGGGGAGGTGAGCCAGGCTTATGAGTCCCCATCTCTGAATAGGAAAGAGAAAGCAGCAATTGGGGCTATAGTTAGGACGTTTTCTGGCCTGACAGAGGAGGGGGCCCAGTGCAGTGGGAGGGGCCAATGAAGAGTGGGCGGGGCCAGTTGAGAGTGGGCGGGGCCAGTGGAAGCTTGTAGACTTTGTGAACCAAGAAGGAAATGTTGGGCTCACACAAGAGCTCCTCTGCCCAGGATACCGCTGCCTCCTCCTTTCCCTTCATCCTCCTTCCCCTCCTCTTCTAGGTTAGCACACAGACCGATGGGTTTAGTTTGGCATTTACACACATGTATGCCATACTTTGTTCTTATCCTCCCTTCTACTGAAGTTTCTGGGAGTCCAAGCCAGGCCCTTCTCCAGTAGCCACAACAGAGAATAAACATCATGTTTGTATAGATTCAGACTCCCTGCCAAAGCTCTGTCTTTGCCTCTCCCCAGCCTGGACTTGGCCTTTATATGTTAATAAGCCCACTCCTTAAAAAGCTTGAGAAAGTATTCTTAGAGCATTAAAAGACTTCACTAGGGCTGTCTAGGATTAACCTCGAATGGTGGACCGACTGCTGACGTAGCTTGTGCATTAGTACCTCCCTGACATTGGCACATGGCCAACATGCTTCCTCTCCGTTGGTAGAGAGGACTGCCATCACTCGATCTGAAATGAATGCCAGACAGATAGATGGTAGTTGGTTCAAGTCAAGTAGAGGGAATGCAGGGGGATTTTCCTATCTTGAACAACAAAGGCTCGATCCCTGTGGTGGGAACCACACGGTGGGTAGGTTATACTCCAGAACCAAGGTGCAGTGTTGTCCCAGAGGGACAAGAACTCAGAAAAGGAACATCTGTGTGTCTGTCCCCAGCCCAACCCCAGTGAGTACAAAAGCTCCCTTAATGACATAAGCAATGAGGACCATTTGAACCTTTGGGGCATTGATTCCAGAATCCACTTGGCACCCAAACCAGTAGATATGCATATCCCTTGCAGAGAACTCTGGGAACTGTGAGGACAGAGTAGCTTTGAGAGAGGCCTTAGAAGAGAACACAGTCACACACAGGTACAGGGGGCTGGAGAGAGCATTTGGTGACTTATGTGAGTGTCAGGAACTACAGATGCTGCCTTAGGTACTGGGGGAAGCTGGGCTGCTCTGAGCTGTCAGGGCTGGAGAAGGATGATGATGATGATGGCTGGGAAGTGTCCTGTTCTTGTCTGTGTGCTGCTCACAAGTCTTGACTTGTCTCTAGGTTTTCAAGCTGGGCTGTGTGGGACACCCAGTGAAGTGGTTTCAAGATGGAAATGCCCTCAGTCATGTTCTCTAACAGGCTCTATGCCAGTCCTGCACTCAAGATACTGCAGGAGGGTTTTGTGTGTGTAGTGGTTTTGTGCAGTTGTTATTTACACACTGTGCTTTTGGTTGGTGTTTATAAAATGTGTGGGTCTAAAATAATAGCAAAGTATTCTTTCCGCTTAACAAATAATTTCCTTCTTTAAAAACTAACTCCCTGTTGTTTCTGCTTCTGCAGGATACTAAATTGTGGATAATCATGGAGTATCTTGGTGGAGGCTCTGCCCTGGATCTGGTAAGTACCACTGTGGCTGTACTGTACTTACATACCTTGGCTTGTTCTTACTCACTGCTGGTTTGAACAGGAACACTAGCCACTTCACTCTTTCCTTACAGAAGCATAAAACTATCCCTAACCTGTTTTTGTTTCTTATACAGAACTTAAAGTTACAGGCCTGTTTTGGAGGCCATTGGGAGAGGGAGTCATTTCATTAAAAACCAATAATCTAATATGTAGCAGCAATGAAGGCTTTTACCTAGAATTATTTTATTTAAGACCGCTTGGCTAGTGTATTTTTCAGACCCAATTTACAAACTTCTAGCAGAACAGCTATTACTTCTGTAATAGGCACCATGTTTTTTCCCTTTATTTTTATTGTATATGTATGGGTGTACCTGCATGTATGTCTGTACACCACTTCAATGCCAGGTGCCTGCAGAGTTCAGAAGAAGGCTTTAGATCCCTTAGAACTGGACTCACAGGCTGTTGTGAGACTCTGTGTAGGTGCTAGAGAGGGAACCTGAGTCTTCTTGGAGAGCAGCAAATGTTCTCAATTGCTGAACCATCTCTCTGGCCCTGTCACCGTGGTTTACATATTTCAGACTAACAGCTCTCCCCATAAGCTCATGGCCTTTTCATCCCCGGAGTCACTGTGTGATTCTTAAGGCATGGCTTTAGATGTTAAAAAAGTGGTCATCAGACAAGATGTTGTACACATGGCCGGTCACCTGTGATCTTGCCAGTGAGTGTCCATGGGGCATCAGAACAGAGCTGGCTTGACTCAGTGTTGTCTCCTCTCTGGACTTACCTTCTAGGTCGGTCAGCCCACAGACTGGGAAGTGGAAGTTAGGGAGATACCCAGTTTCACATTGGCCTTTGTGGGGTACTCATAAAATGTGGCTTCTGTTATCCTGAAACAGTTTTCATTGTGTCCATGCATTGGAAACACTGTTGCTACCCTTGTCTTCTGTGTCTATTGTATCCATGCATTAGAAATATTGTTGCCTGGTTTATGCCCATGTGTTAGAAACACTGTTGCCACACTTGCCTTCTGTGTCCATTGTGCCCATGTGTTAGAAACACTGTTGCTACACTTGTCTTCTGTGTCCATTGTATCTATGCATTAGAAATATTGTTGCCTGGTTTGTGCCCGTGTGTTAGACACACTGTTGCTCGGTTCTTGTCTTCTGTGGCCATTGTGTCTATGCATTAGAAACACTGTTGCCTGGTGCTTGTCTTTTGTGTCCATGTGTTAGAAACACTGTTGCTCGGTTCTTGTCTTCTGTGGCCATCGTGTCCATGTGTTTGAAACACTGTTGCCTGGTGCTTGTCTTCTGTTTCTGCTGTGTCCATGCATTCAAAGCACTGTGGCTGAGGCCTGAGGGGATGCGTCATTGGTGAAGTGCTTGTTGTGCAAGTGTGAGGACTTGAGTTCAAGGCTCTATCACTCTGGTACCAGAGATGCCTGTCTGCATGCCAGGGCAGCAAGGCACAGACAGGAAGAGCCTGGGCTCACTGGTCAGCCAGTCTTGCCAAATCAGTGAGAGACCTGGTATCCAAAAATATGATAGAGAAAGGGCTTGAGGATGATACCTGATGTTGATTGCTGGACTCCAAACATACTCAGGCACACACTCAAAAAACTCACACAGGCATGCACACATAACACCTACATGCACCAGCATTAAAGTAATTGTACTCCTGACCCCTGTACTGGGTAGGTTTGTGAGTGGTGATCCCCAGACAGGCTGAATGCTTGGTTTTAGCTATTAAAGGTGAGTCTTTCATGCTGAGGTGATGATGCAGGAGGTCTCCCAGAACTTTTCTAAGGAAGGAGATTTCCCCTCACCCTCTTTGAGACCATATAATTTTTTTAGCTCTTTTTTTTACATTTGTTAATACTTTATTGATAGTTATAAATACACTTCTGTGTTAAAACTTTTTGTTTATGAAAGTTCTCTTTTTTTTTTATTGGATGTTTTATTTACATTTCATATGTTGTCCCCTTACCCTATCCCCTCACACCTCCTCCTGCTTCTCTGCGGATGTACCCCACCTACCCCCCACTCCCACCTCCCCACCCTCAAATTCCCACCCCCTGGGGCATCCAGCCTTCATGAGGCCAAGGCTCTCTTCTCCCACCTATGCTCAGCAGGGCCCTCCGCTCTTACATATACAGCTGAAGCCATGGATCCCTCCCTAAGTGCTCCCAGGCTGGTGGTTTAGACCCTGGGGAACAGCTCCTTTCTTAAAGCAACAGCACCATGTAGTTTCCTTAGAGGATAAACTTTTAAAAGGACATTTCTCTCCAGAAAGCTAGTACACTAATTGAAGAAATTGCCCATTGTTGCAAACCATAAAGATTCTTTAAAATACTGTTCAAAGCAAAAATTTCAAGAACAAGTTAATATGGTATAAAGCCAAGCTGTGACATTAAATGGGAAAAAAAAATCAGCTGAGTGTATTTCATGGTCCTTTCTATAAATATCCACACTGCACAAAAAACTCTTCACTCTTGGGGGCAATACAGGAATGTAGAAAATTGCTTCCTATTGTGCAATTAGATTGACTATTATCCACCGTGAATTTAAGTTGTGGCACACACTGAGTTGTTTGTAGGGACTCTGTCTGTCTGACAGACAGCCCTTTAGAGCAGCTGTTCTGGGCCTCTAAGTACGGTAATTAAATTTACTTGAGTTGATTTCTGTGCAGTTTTAGAAATCACAGTTAGAGGAAAATGCAGAAAGAGGTAGCCACTTTTTTGCATGTGGTTTGAGAGTCCCTGGACCCCACCATCCACATAAACATTTTCAATGAAAAGAAATGGCATTCCTTTTGGGATTTGTCCTTCTGTGTGAATGGGTGTGGAAAGGGCGTGGCAGCTCCTGGCTGAGTGGGGCTGGATTTATGGACCTTGCCGTCTTGTCCTGGGGCCTGTTGGTGCTGTTCTTCTGCCTCCTACTTGATTGTCTCTTCCCATCTTTATCACATTTCTGTCTCTCTCTCTCTCTCTCTTTTTTTTTTAACTCCCAAATTCTCAAAGAGGAAAAAGGAAAAAATACTTCAGTAATGGGGTGTGGCAATTATGTTCTGAATATTGGGGAAAAAAATCAGGATTATTTTGACAGGGTCTCTATGCATTTTAATGAACACTGCATGAATGAAGTTGAGGGCCATTTCTTTGGAAAGTTCAAACTGGCTTTATTTATTGTCTCTCTAGTTGATGTGGAGTTAGCCTGTGCCTGCAAGAGCTCTCTGAGGGCCTGTGGGGACAAGGTGACTGTCCTGATACTGCTGTGACCAGCTTTGCTCAAGAAAGAGAAAACTACTCCCTCTATGCTCTAGATCCAGCATGAAGGACAGATTGACAAGACAGCTCAGACATTAAGAGCAATGAGTATAGAACAGGCGTATATTTGAATGTGCTCAGTCTGTTGATCTGTTTTTTTTTATTTAAAATTTAAATATTAAATTAAAATATTTGTAGGACCCCTTGCTCACTCTTGATTTTTTTTAAAGATTTATTTGTTTATTATATTTATATGAATACATCGTTGCTGTCTTCAGACACAGCAGAAGAGGTCATCAGATCCCATTAAAGATGGTTGTCAGCCACCATGTGGTTGCTGGGAATTGAATTCAGGACCTCTGGAAGAGCAGTCGGTGCTCTTAACCACTGAGCCATCTCTCCAGCCCTCACTCTTGATCTTTGGCATGTACTCTGAATCTGCTGTCTGTCATCTCTGACCAGACTGTTACCTCCAAGGTGCCATGACCTAGGAGAGCGTGACCGTGCTCTGCAGCCCAGGGCTTGTTAACTTCTGTGGGGTAGAGTCAGTGCACAGAGCAGAGTGCTCTCCCATCAAGGAGTAGAGTCTGTGTGGAGCTGCATTTGAGGATGCACAGGGAAGGAGGGTGGGAGGAAGGGAGAGCTGGACAAAGAACATTGAAGAGCCGTGAGAAGAAGACGTTTTAGCTGATTAGAAGATCAGGCAGTCTGCTGCCAGAGAACCTGAAGGCTGGCCAGCCTTGAGATCTGATTAGGAAGGAACTTCGCTGTATAAATGGCTTACTTAACCAAGCAGAGATGTTTAACCAACTTAAAAGTGAACATACAACATAGTTTTAGAAAATCAGATGGCAGTTTGGGGGTATATTTAGGGTGAGCTGCTGTTGGCACTCTAGAACAGCAGTGCTCACAAGATGGAAGTGGATTTCCCTCCCACATGTATGATCATTTAGGGCTTCTTGTGTTCCTGTGCAAGGTAAGATTAGGAGTGGACATGTGCTACATCTGCTCACACTCCATGGTTAGAGTGGAGTCATCAGGCCACATGACGTGGAACCCAAGATGGTCAGTAGTTGAGTAACTGTGTGCCCGGATGACAGTATTCTGTCTGACAGAGGAAGAATGGAGGCTGTGTGTGTGTCTGTGCACGTGTGCGTTCGTGTGTGTGTGTGTGTGTGTGTGTGTGTGTGTGTGTAAGGGGGAGGGTGTTCGAAGTTACCTGTAGATGGGATAAAGTCCATTTTCGCTGTTCCAGTTACTTTTCTGTTGCTGTGGTGAAGCACCACCATCAAAAGCAGCTTTCAGAAGAAAGAGTTTAGGCATGAGGACAGAAGCAGGCAGCCCAGGGCCCAGTGTGGCCACATAGCACTGACCTCGTGGTGGCTGAGGTCTTGCTGCAGCCCCGGACACCATTCTGTTTTTGAGAATAGGAACCGTCTCTGCGTTCTCTTTCTCTCAAGTGACAAGAGCAGTGTGTGTTTTCTTCTTTCTGAAAATCAAAACTGGTGAATTCTGTGAATACGGGTAGACATGAAGAAGCAGGCGTGTTGCGTGTCGGTGTGTCCCCGACCGTAGCCTGGAAGAGTGTGCACCATTCGGTTCTTATTGTGCTTAGAATTGCCAATAATTTTGGCAGGCTAGTGGATACAAGCAGTTTGGTTTTTCTCTGCAGATATAATCACGTGAAGGAGAGTTGAAAGTTGCTGGCATTTTCTGTTCCGTTCTGCTCTGTTCTGAATGAAGAAAGCCAGAGAGGCTCAAATGTTATAGGAGGTAGCCAGAAGAAAGACCACGCTGGACGGACGTCCTTGCCTTTATAGTGTAGACCAGGGTAGACCTATGAGATGAACCAGAAATGAGTTGGCCATGAGTTGGGCCATAATGTAGGTGATTGTATGTTAGTCAGGGTTCTCTAGAGTAACAGAATTTGTAGGATGGATCTTTCATCTCCCCCCCC